TTATGGAGGATTTATGATGGATTTATGGAAGATTTATGGAGGATTTATGAAGGATTTATGGAGGATTTATGGAAGATTTATGGAGGATTTATGGAGGATTTATGGAGGATTTATGGAGGATTTATGGAGGATTTAGGCAATTCACTTGTGAATACTAAAGTTCCAAGAAAGTTCACTTTATGATACTTTATGTATATATTCGTTTTCAATTAGGCAATTCATTTGGGAATACTAAAGTTCCAAGAAAGTTCACTTTATGTATTCGTTTTCAATTAGGCAATTCATTTGGGAATACTAAAGTGGAAAGAAAGTTCACTTCATGTATTCGTTTTCAATTAGGCAATTCATTTGTGAATGCTAAAGTTCCAAAAAAGTTCACTTTATGTATTCGTTTTCAATTAGGCAATTCATTTGTGAATACTAAAGTTCCAAGAAAGTTCACTTTATGTATTCGTTTTCAATTAGGCAATTCATTTGTGAATACTAAAGTTCCAAACAAGTTCACTTTATGTATTCGTTTTCAATTAGGCAATTCATTTGTGAATACTAAAGTGGAAAGAAAGTTCACTTTATGTATTCGTTTTCAATTAGGCAATTCATTTGTGAATACTAAAGTTCCAAAAAAAGTTCACTTTATGTATTCGTTTTCAATTAGGCAATTCATTTGTGAATACTAAAGTGGAAAGAAAGTTCACTTTATGTATTCGTTTTCAATTAGGCAATTCATTTGTGAATACTAAAGTTCCAAGAAGGTTCACTTTATGTATTCGTTTTCAATTAGGCAATTCATTTGGGAATACTAAAGTGGAAAGAAAGTTCACTTTATGTATTCGTTTTCAATTAGGCAATTCATTTGTGAATACTAAAGTTCCAAAAAAGTTCACTTCATGTATTCGTTTTCAATTAGGCAATTCATTTGTGAATACTAAAGTTCCAAACAAGTTCACTTTATGTATTCGTTTTCAATTAGGCAATTCATTTGTGAATACTAAAGTTCCAAGAAAGTTCACTTTATGTATTCGTTTTCAAGTAGGCAATTCAGTTGGGAATATTTGGGAATACTAATTAGGCAATTTTCAATTTCATTCAGGTGTCTATTTTTGGAGTCAAACACGAACACCAAAGAAAAACACCAGAAAAACCAATGAAAACCAATGAACAAACACAATGATAAGCAAAGAACAACACATGAACATTATTGAGAACCAAAGAAAAATCTATGAACAAATCAAGGAAAACCAATGAAAACCACCGAAAAGCCAATGAAAAACCAAAGAAGGAACAATGAAAAACAATGGAAAAGCAAAGACAATTTTGCCAGCATTCTAAGTTACCTTTTGCCAGGGATTTTTGGTCCCTGTTTTTTCGAGGTTTTCATCTTTAATGGGGAAAGAGATAAGAGACAATTTTGAAGAAAAAAAGGGCACCTGTCTTGAGGTGCCTTGGATCCTGTATGTTCACAAAACCCTGTAAATATGCAATAAATTGCATTTTTTCTTGCATATGTGTTTCAAATGGAGTTGTTTTTCTGTTTGCTGTTTTTGGGTACCCTCATGGAGGAAAAAACACTGGCAGGAGAGAACTTAGCATACCATTTTATACCTAAAATATGCATTTTGCACGGCAATACTGTGGTTCGGGTCTGGCACATTGAAACTTAGAATATTCACACGCCGGCATTCTAAAATACCCTTAAAAACATGGTTTTTGGCGGAATTCTAAATTCAAAAATCAAAAAAAATGGAAAACTGGGCAGCATTCTAAGTTTCAGTGTGTCGCTATATATATATATATACATATGTATATATATATATATATTTATTTATAGTTGTGTATATATATATATATATATATATATTTATATAAATCATTGACGGAGAAAACCTGCAGGCCTAACCGAAAGAAGCAGCTCCTGAAATAGTAGCCTGCAGGCCACTGATGCAGCCCGTAGGCCCGTAACCCACTCATCCTCCCCACCAGGCCAGTATGCCACTGGAGCAGCCCGTAAGCCACTGATGCAGCCCTTTGCAGCCCGTAGGCCACTGTTGCAGCGCGTACGCCACTCATAATGCAGCCCGTAGGCCACTCTGCAGCCCATAGGCAACCGTTGCAGTCCGTGGGCTACTCTAGCAGCCTGTAGGCTCTTCTCTTTCTCTCTCTTTCTGTCTCTTTCTCTGACTATCTACCTACCTACCCACCTATCTATCTATGTACAGTATCCATCTCTCTCCCTCTCTCTCTCTCTCTCCCTCTCCCTGTCTCTCTGTCTGTCTGTCTATCTATCTATCTATCGATCAATCTATCTATCTAATCTAAATCTATCTATCTATCTGTCTGTCTATCTATCTATCGATCTATCGATCTACCGATCTATCGATCTATCTATCGATCGATCTATCTATCTATATCTAGTCTAAATCTATCTATCGATCGATCTATCGATCGATCTATCGATCGATCTATCGATCTATCTATCGATCGATCTATCGATCTATCTATCTATCGATCTATCGGTCTATCTATCGTTCTATCTATCTATCTATCTACCTATCTATCTATCTATCTATCTATATATCTATCTATCGGTCTATCTATCTATCTATCTATCCATCCATCTATCTATCTATCTAGCTGTCTATCTATCTATCTATCTACCTACCTATCTCTCTCTCTCTCTCTCTGCCTGTCTGTCTATCTATCTATCTAATCTAACCTAATCTAATCTAATGAAATCTAGTCTAATCTAATCTAATCTAATTCAAAATCTAATCTAATCTAAACTCATCTAATCTATCTATCTATCTGTCTGTCTCTCTATCTATGTATCTATCCATCTATCTATCTATCTAGCTAGTCTATCTAGTCTATCTATCTATCTATCTATTTATCTATCTATGGTTCTATCTATCTATCTATCTATCTATCTATCTATCTATCTATCTATCTATGTATCTATCTATCTATTTATCTATCTATCTATCTATCTCTATCTAGTCTATCTATCTATCTAGTCTATCTATCTATCTATCGATCGATCGATCTATCTATCTATCTATCTAGTCTAAATCTATCTATCTATCTATATCTATCTAGCTGTCTATCTATCTATCGATCTACCGATCTATCGATCTATCTATCGATCGATCTATCTACCTATATCTAGTCTAAATCTATCTATCGATCGATCTATCGATCTATCTATCGATCGATCTATCGATCTATCTATCTATCGATCTATCGGTCTATCTATCGTTCTATCTATCTATCTACCTATCTATCTATCTATCTATCTCTCTTTCTCTCTCTCTCTCTCTCTCTCGCTCTCTCCCTCCCTCTCCCTGTCTCTCTGTCTGTCTGTCTATCTATCTATCTATGTATCGATCGATCGATCGATCTATCTATCTCTCTCTCTCTCTATCTATCTATCGATCGATCGATCTATCTATCTATCTACCTATCTATCTATCTATCTTTCTTTCTAATCTATATATCTCTCTCTGTCTATCTATCTAATCTTATCTTATCTAACCTAATCTAATCTATTTATCTATCTATCCTGTCCTATCCATATCCTATCCTATCCTGTCCTATCCCGTCCTATCCTATCCATCCATCCATCTAATCTAACCTGTCTAATCTATCTAATCTGCCCTGGTTTTAGTTTTAGCTTTGGCCTTGGCTTTACCTTTTGGCAAGGTTTTCATTGCAAATTTGCCTTTTGCCAAGGCTTTGCTCTTTTGGTTTCCTTTTCCACCTTTGCCCATTTCCCTTTGACCAAGGGAGAAGGTGCACTAATACACAATTGAATTGCTTGAGAAACAAAATGGCTGAGGTTTGGCAAACCTGATGCACCATCACAAACATTGCATGCTATGGGGCCTAGTAAATGCAAACTAAAGTAAATAATGTGTTGAAAATAAATATATATTGGACTGTTTGGATTGAACATATGTGTTAAAGATAAAAACATATATTGGACTGGTTGGGTTGGACCAACAACTACAACATTTTCCAAACAATGAAACCACTATTTGAAAATTATTTCAAACATATTTCAAAAAATATCAGAAAAATGAAAACTGATGAAATCTGATGAAAACCTGTGTTTTCATCAGATTTCATCAGATTTCATCAGTTTTCATTTTTTTGGTATTTTTTGATATTTTTTGATATTTTTTCACAATCCAAAATATTTCTGATGTTTTTTGGAAACAATATTTGAGCCTTTTGTCAAGGCAATGTGCTGTTGATTACTTCAGAAACCCCGTGAAAACTGAATACATTTTGTCAAGGCAAAATGTGTTGCCAAAACTGAAATATGTTGTGTTTCCCTAGATCCCAAACCAATGTACACCTGAATTCATTGTGGTGGTTCCCAAAAATGTTTTGATGACAAATGGGTTCCTTGACAAAAGGGCTATTAAATCCACTTATTATTTGATGAACCATTCAAAAATTAAAACAAATTACACACCTTTGAGGGGCTCCCAATCAAACACCCTTAGCCCAATATTTTTTTGCTGCAATCCTGCCAGCATCCATGAACCTTTTGCCAAGGTTTCACATTGCAGTGCCACAGCCTCTTGGACCTTAACAAACATTGTGGACCACACCAGTATGTATACATATATATGTTTATGTATGTATAAGTGCTGTATTAGTTTTTATTTGCTTGCAACATTAGACTGTTTCAAACAAAAACTCAAGAGGCTGTGGCAACTGCAAGGTTTTAAAAACCTAGGGACAGGTCTTTGCCGCTTAGACCTGCCTAGACAAAATCTGTACAAGGGTGAAACATGCTACAAAAGGTTTCTTGTCCTTTTGTCAAGTTTCTTGTCCTTTTGTCAAGTTTTTTTTCTATTGGTGCAACCTTTTTGTCAAAGGTGCTGCAGCAAGGAAGTCTTTGCGTTTTGTCAAGGCTTGGGAGGCTTTTGTCAAGCATTTTGGTTTTAGATGCTTGTGCCAAGCCTGCCTGGACCACCATTGGCTCTGCCCTTTTGTCAAGGGTTTTCCCCCTTGAGGATGTCAATGGCTGCAGCTGCAAAGTCAGAGAAGCAGCTTTGGAGCTTAGACTGCCCCTTTTTCCTTCTCTGACCAGCAGGCACAATGGGGTAAGCCTGGATGCCAAACTTAATGGCTTCAGAACAGATGTCAACATTGTCATCCACCAGCTTGCTTACCCCATTGTCCAGGCACCACTGGGCTTTCCCTTCCTTGCCACATTGCTTCCAGGTGAAGCTGACTGAGGCCCAGCCATCCCATTCAAACCAGGCCCAGTCATACACCTCATGGCTTCTCTTCCAGCCACCGTAGCTCAACAGGTGCACTTCATACCCTGCATCCTTGAGATGCGAGCCTTCGACTTCTCTGTGCGACCCTCCCCCTCAGGCAACGTCTTCCCATAATGCGCTTCAGCGAGCAAACCCACTGTTCGCGCAACAAAGCTCGGCGGCATCTCCGACATCTGGCCTTGCTCAACTGCGGCAGTTGCAACTTCCGACGTGACCACGTCTGCTGCCCCCGGAACCGTGGGAATCTCATCAACGTTGGAACCGGCAGTGTTCATGCCTCCTGTTCCAATATCTCTTCCCGCAGGAACACTGACTGCCACCGCACCATTGATTGCTGAGCCGCTTGCCTGAGCAGGGGCCGCCTGCCAGGTCGGCGGCACTTCAGATCCATTAACCAATGCCAAAAGCGGCACAACTGATTCACTCCGCTCAGTCGACGCAACCCCAGGCTCAGTCGACGCCGCCGCACGATCCAACAACTGTTGCGCAGCCAGACCTCGACCCGACGGTGCTGAATTTTCACTTGGTCGTGAAAAGATCTGCAGCTCAACGGAATCTCCACTTCTCTGTGCCCCATTGCTCCAGCAACGGCCTGAGCCATCATAACCGCCGTTTGCGTCATCAGCTGTTGCTGCTGCATTGCCATCGAACCCATCGAGGGAACACCTTGCCCAAGCAAAGCCTGTTGCAAGAGACAAGCTGCTGATTTCTATTCCTCAACTCAACGGCGTTGCCCGCGCCGCTTGCCAGATCGCATACAAGCTCACGCCAGGCGGTACAGGCACGATAGCCAAGGTTGAAAAATTGAGCCCTGTAGGGAGCAGGAAGCTGATCTTGGCCCGCAGGCAGCTGCTCCAAATATATGTTACCAGGCAATGGACTCCCTGTCTGCTTGGCTCTGGTTGTAGTTGTTTTAAGCACTCCTTTGATTGTTTGAAGCAATGCACTCTGTTGCGCTGCATCGGTGCGCCTGCAAACAAGCGCAACCATCACACACTGGGTGGGTTCACTGGCATGTCTCAAACCCAGGCAGTGAGTTCACAAGGTAAGTGCGCAGCATTTCGATTTTCCTCAGCTGCGATACCGTGGTATCAGCGCCCTCCACCAAGTTCCAAAGCTCACCCGTCATGTATAACGGAAAGTTGCGAAAATACTGCATGGTTGCTCGACGCTGCAAGTCTCCCATCTGTTTTCCTATTTTGTTCTTCTTCGCACGCCTCGAGCCAGAAAACTACCACTTCAACGTGATGAAAACCAGAACTCCAAAAAATGAACATGTGAAACTTAACTTGTGTAACTTATTTGTATGCTTTTCCTGAAATGAACTTATCTTGCCTTGTAAGTCATCAACTTATTTGTAACTTGTCATTAAGATATCCCACTTACAATCTAACATACACCCACTTACAACTATAGTTAAACCCCTTTACAACTTAAGTTATATCTAGGGGGTTCACTTTGTGATGATGATGATGATGAGGAGGAGGAGGAGGAGGACGACGACGAGGACGATGAGGACGATGAGGAAGATGAGGACGATGAGGAGAATGAGGACGATGAGGACGACGAGGACGATGAGGACAATGAGGACGATGAGGACGATGATGACGATGAGGACGATGAGGACGATGAGGACGATGAGGACGATGAGGACGATGAGGACGATGAGGACGATGATGATGATGATGATGATGGGATGATGATGATGATGGTGATGATGGTGATGATGATGATCTGATGATGATGATGATGATGAAACGAGGATGAGGATTGGGAAGAGAAAAAGGATGAGGATGACGATGATGATGGTGATGAAGGAAATGATGACGATGGTGATGACGATGGTGATGATGATGATGGTGATGATGACGGTGGTGGTGATGATGCTGATGGTGATGATGATGATGATGATGATGATGATGACAATGGCGGTGATGACGACGATGGCGATGGCGATGACGATGACGATGACGATGACGATGATGATGATGACGACGACGACGATGACGACGATGATGACGATGACGACGACGACAACCACAACAACAACAACAACAACAACAACAACCACGACTTTATGGACTTAGACAAGAGATGTACAAGTTAAGCAAGTTATGTTAGAAGTTAGAAGTTAACATGATTTATCTAGATTCCTTAGAAGAATTTATGTTAACTTTGGTAACTTAGTTGCTAACTTTAGGTAACTTTTCATAACTTTTGATAACTTTTTAAAGACATTTTATTCGGTTACGCTAAGCTACATATGTTGATTCATTTAATAGGAATATATCCTTTTCAGGAACTGTCGTCGCAACAAGTCCGGCAAAATTCGTTCAGAATTTTATATCCTTTTGCAGGAACCATCATTTCTGATAGTTTTCTTTTCAGAAAATTGGCGCAGGCACGCTTTTTTAAAATCTCTTTTTCGATTACATTTTGTCACCGTAAAAGGCATCACCAAGAGCCTTACCAGATCGTGAGCAATGTCGAATCTTGTGATAGCCAATGTGCTGGCTTGTAAACATCAGCTTGAACAATCACATATGATGCGAATTCCTTTCTGATTTTCTCGTTTAAAGAATGTCATACGTGACAATAACCGTTTTATACATGGACTGAACTATAGCTAGTTGAGGCTGAACTATAGCTAGCTGAGGCTGAACTGTAGCTGAACTATAGCTAGTTTAGGCTGAGCTATAGCTAGTTTAGGCTGCACTATGGCTGAACTATAGCCCTTTTATTTTTAAATGAAAGCTGAACTATGGCTGAGCTATAGCTAGTTTAGGCTGAACTATAGCTAGTTTAGGCTGAACTATGGCTGAACTATAGCTAGTTTCGGCTGAACTATGGCTGAACTATAGCCGTTTGAATTTAAAAGGGAAACTGAACTATGGCTGAACTATAGCTAGTTGAGGCTGAACTATGGCTGAACTATAGCCGTTTGAGGTTAATCGGAAAACTGAACTATGGCTGAACTATAGCTAGTTTAGGCTGAACGGCTGAACTATAGCTAGTTTTGGCTGAACTATGTCTGAACTATAGCCAATTGAATTTAAAAGGAAAACTGAATTATGGGTGAACTATAGCTACTTTAGGCTGAACTATAGCTAGTTTTGGCTGAACTATGTCTGAACTATAGCCAATTGAATTTAAAAGGAAAACTGAATTATGGGTGAACTATAGCTACTTTAGGCTGAACTATAGCTAGTTTAGGCTGAACTGTAGCTGAACTATACCCAATTGAATTTAGAAGGAAAGCTGAACTATGGCTGAACTATGGCTGAACTATAGCTAGTTTAGGCTGAACTATAGCTAGTTTAGGCTGAACTATGGCTGAACTTTAGCCAATTGAATTTCAATGGAACTCTGAACTATAGCTAGTTTAGGCTGAACTATGGCCTAACCATAGCCAACTTAATTTGTATAGCTGAAGTATGGCTGAGCTTTTCCTGCACTATGAAATATTGCTGGATTATCGCTGAATGAATTATATCTCAGCTTTAACTAAATTCTGGTTCAAGTATACAGTATACTCAGTTTTCAGAACACGGAGATGAACTAACTAGATTTAAATTACCATTGAACCATAAACGAAACCATGATTCACAAAGCCGACTTCTTTCTTTTAGCGCTTGCTTGAACACGACAGCTATGTCACCCCGAAAAGGAAATTGCAACCATGTCTTTTTCAAGACTTGTCATTTCTGACTCTGTCCCTTGAAGACCACATGTCACACTCCATTCATAACTTTTTATAACTCTTTGCTAACTTTCCATAACTTATGTTAATTTTCCGTAACTAGTTATGTTAACTTCCCTAACTAGATTTCAAAAATTAACATAAAGATAAGAAAGATACGCTAACTTTGATAAATAGATACATTTCAAACAAATACTTACAACTTCACCTATGCTGCTACATGAAGTTATATCTTAGTTATTCATACTTAAGGAACTTGGGATACTTACAAGTAGTTTTGTTGTGTTTCGCAATCAAGGTGGTTCAGTGGAATTTAAGGAATACCTATGGATCATAAGCTTTTGCAGATGCACAACCAATAAAAAAATTCCAAATTTGCACACAATGATGTTTTTTTACAATAAACTTATCAGTGAGAATTCTGGGCTGAAAACTGTACGTGTTTTTTTTGTGAAGATCGATGTTCATTTGTTTTATGATGAATGGAGGGATGAACTAGAAACCTGTTGGTTGCATAAGCTGAAAAGCATAAGATGTTGTGTATATTGGTCCCGCTGAATTGTTCAGCTGTCAGTCGTCAGAAAGCTGATTTTCATTTCAATTTCCATTGAACTGGCATGGCATGGACTGGACAGTGACTAGTGACTGGCGACTGATTGAACCAACAAAATCAGGAAACCAGACAATGGCTAGGGATAGGGTCTAGAGTCACTCGAGTCTAGGGTTGGGTCAAGGCCAAGGTTCAGGGCCTAGGTAGAGGTCTAAGTTTTACCAAGAGAACCGGGGACCTGCAAAATTGTAGGGCCAGTGAAAAAAGCCGGGGTTTTACAACAAAAACCAGGTTCTTAAAAAGAACATGTTTTTTATCTTCCTGATATTTCATCATCTTTTGCACTTGCCCCATCATATCCAGTCCAGTGGAATCCACAAAAAAAACATTTCTCATTCCTGACATCCCTGTAATTTGAGAAAAGAATGCTGAAAGCGTCAGCTTTGAGGCAGCAAGTCATGGATCCAACTTTTTGGAGCAAGCTTGTCCTGCAAATCGGGCCTAAACCCCCGTCACAGGGCACCTAGGAACCAGAGCCCAGAACCCATATTTTTACTACGGCTTACTACGGGTTAAAGACGGGTTCGCTACGGTTTAAATACGGGTTCTGAAAACATAGGTTCTGCCCAGTTTGAACAAAATACGGGTTCGCTACGGGAAAATGACGGGTTCGCTACGGGATAAATACGGGTTCTTCAAAAGAACCTATCTTTTCGTGCGCCAGTGCTCAAAAAAACATATGTTGTTCCGCAAAATTCAAAAACCAAGAGAAAATGTTAGGATGTGTAGCTCTGGTCCCTCATCCCAGGCAATTAAATAGAAACCTCACTCCTATTGAATTCAAGGTTTCGGAATTAAGTGGCGCCACTCCATGGGAATTTGTAGACGTTTTCCCTTGCAAAGATATTTGTAAACATCATCTAACTGGGCAAAAAAAATGGGTTCTTAAAAAAAAAAGTGTTTTTTAAAAACATGTCTTTTTTGGAAATCTCCTCCAAAACCAGGTTTTCATTTTTGGACCTACAAATTCCAGGGTTCTAGGTTCGCTAGGTATCTAAGAAATATTGATATTTTTGATTTTAGAGAGTTTGTGAAAAAATGTAAAAACAACACTAAAATTTTAATTTCAATTTCAGTTTCAGTTTCGGTCAGACAATTTCAGAGATGTGTGTTTTTTTAATATATATTTAAATAAATTGTTTTTTTCAATCTTAAATCCATGGTAATTCCTTAAGTTCCACTTCCACTGGCATGGACTTTTTTTTCTCCTTAAATTCCAGTGTTTTTTTGTTTTCCTTAAATTCCCGGTAATTCCTTAAATTCACAGGTCTGTAGAATTTAATTATTTTATAGTTTTTATCATTTAATGATTTTGATTATTTTAATCCAAAAATATCTAAAAACATCAAATTTGTTCCATAGACTCCTTTTGTGTCTATTGGATGAATTTTATGTTTTAAGATGAATTTTCATTTAAATCATCAAAATTGTTAAATGAAAAAAACTGTCAAATAGTTAAATTCTACAGACTTGTGGAATTTAAGGAATTATCGGGAATTTAAGGGAAAAAAAACTTGAGCCAATAAAATTAAATATAAATAAGTAAAGTATGTGTAAAAAAAAAAGTGTTTTTTCTTTCAGAAATTAAGAAAATCAGATCCTTAAATTCTACAGACCTGTGGAATTTAAGGAATTATCGGGAATTTAAGGAGAAAAAAAACGGGAATTTAAGGGAAAAAAAAACGAGAATTTAAGGAAAAAAAAACGGGAATTTAAGGGAAAAAAAAACGGGAATAAGGAAAAAATAAAAACGGTAATTTAAGGGAAAAAAAAACGGGAATTTAAGGGGAAAAAAAAAACAACGTGAATTTAAGGGAAAAAAAACGGGAATTTAAGGAGAAAAAAAAACACGGGAATTTAAGGAAAAAAAATAACG